GTAGTTCTATTTCAGAAGTCAGTGTTTGTAAATCTTTTTCTACCTATTGCAAAATATGCATTAGTGATTGATTGAAGACAGTAGTAATAATTAAAGATAAAAGAGTGTCCAGCCTCCGTAAGTATTCATCTTTGGATTTACTGATGAATGAACGGCTAGGACTTTGTATTAATAAGCTTTCAGATGTTGATTTCTATTAGGTTACTCACATAGAAAATTTCAAAGTGATTTGGTTTCCCTCTCTGTCCCAAACTCCGTGGAATCAAGATCACTCAGGCTCATCACACATTTACACAATTTTCCTTGATGAAAGGATGAATAGGTCATAGGATCCCGATACTTCAAAGCTCAATTTCTGACTCTTGAAAATACTAAACAGTAATTAACAGCCTTAAGGACTTCTATGAATAAATGTAGGCTTCCAGATTGATTACAATCTATTATGTCATTGCAGATGAAATAAAAAAATGGCATTTTGAAAAACAACAAAAAAAGAGTTCCTCAAGCAGCATTCCAATCATTTTAATCAGATTGCAATCATTTGACCAATTCAGTTATAATTCTTAAATGAATTAAGAAGCACGCAGGGGTCATGTAGGGCAGGACTCATTTGTTTTCAATGGGTTTTCAAAGCTTTAGTTTGTGATCTTACTTCATTTGCCCTTCAGGCTCATTATCTCACCACTAGTTGCCAAACCACCTTCTGCTTTGCGGATTATTCCATTTGGGGTTGTGTTCCCTGTTTTGAGAACTACTGCCTTAATGTTTGCACATAATACTATATCAAGGGATCTTTGATGAAAAAGAAAGCATAAATGTTTACCTTTGGGGTTTACCAAGTCAGACAGAAAACACTTTTAGCACTCTTAAGTATTTCTTGAGCCATGAAGCACACTGTAGATGATCCTCTTGTCTTCAGAAAGTCTTTAAGGCTACAATAAGTGTCCAGTATGTTTGCATAAGAAATCACCCACAGTTCAGTTTTCTTTTAGTTTCAACAACTTCATAACAATTATTCTATTGTGCCATTTGTCTCTTTTTAGTGTATGGACTGTGATTTTTCTGGCTGTCAGTGAATAGTTCCTTTATCTTAATCAAACAGAAGTTTCAGAGGCAAAAGTATTTGGAGTCCCCTTACCACAGGCAAGCCTTAGCACATATTTGCTGTTCTGACCCTACATTTTGTCATTTACCTCTCTGAAATAGGATTATTTTAAATTAATACAGTTCTATAACCAAGATATATTAGTTATTAGTATTGCTTTCATATTTTAAAGCTTTCTGTGGCTTCCTATGTCCATCCAAACACGCTTTATTTTGGATGATCACTGTTCCTTTTTATTCTTTGTGAAAATAATAAAGTTATTACTGAAACCTACAGACCAAGATTTTATTACTGTAACCTTTATAAGCTACTGAATTTGAACTCCTATGATAGGAAATGCTGCTTATATTTTCTGTGTGCTGACTATTTTTTGTAATTCAGCCATAAGAAATTATTATTTCAAAAGGAAGAAGAGCAGTAAATAAATAGCACATTTTAAAAACATTACTGTCATATTTAAGCATAAACCCCTTAACTACCTAGGATATGTTTAAAGATAATTATCCACATGTGTGAGGTCAAGGCCCAAGTTCATTAATACTCCATTGCTCAGAGCATGGAAAACAAATTACTACCAAATGCATCTGAGGTTTCCTCCCAAATCTTGTAGTTTGAATGATATAAACCAATGCTTTTAAGATTAATATATTTCCAGCCTGGCATGGATGCAACGATTTGATATTACCTTTGATATTCTTTGGTTTCTTAGCAGTTCTTAAGACTCCTTTTAAGTAAAATTTTATTTAAGAATAACTTGGCTTCTTTTTATAGGCTTTCCTCCTAATATTCAGAATTTGCTATTCTGCATTACACCCTACTAGACTATCATTAATACAAAGATTCTTATTCTAATACAGAATAATTCCATACCAGTTATTGCTATTTTCAAGGTGAACTACTCAATAAATCAAAGCAGATGGAATTTTACTAACATTTTCATCAACATATGCCAGTAACATCTTCCATAAAAAATGGATTTTTCTCCCTTTTTTAAATTCACCTTGTTTGTCAGCTATTTCCTTCAGCTCATCTGAAAAATATTCAAAAACTAACTCTATAAGTTCAGACTCTGGAATTTACTGATTTTTTTTTTTTTTACTCTTTTCCCCTTTGCATTTTGAATGAGTAAACTATTTCTAATATTCCTGAACTGTTTTAGAAAAGAAAAAAATTAAAATTATTTTCACAACTGAAATTTAAATTAACGGTGTTTTCAGGATGCAAAGTAGAGCTGTTATGAAGAGGATCCAATCTTAGTATCAATATCAGTTGATGTTCCGTGCACGATGTTTACAAGAGAAATAACTGTGTACCAGCTTATGCATTCAATTTTGAGCAAATGGAAGGTACAAAGTAGTTTATTTATAAGGCACATTAAAGCCTTTTCCTTTAATTCTCCTGATTATCTTCTTGGTGTATCAAATATTCATAAAAATACTTGATATCTCTTTCTGAATATGGCATTAAAGAAGTGAAAATAAAGACTCATAATTTTTCTTAGGGCTTCTTCAGCTCCTTCAATGCCACCAAAAACATACTGCTCTGTTCCAAAAGCATTTCATTTCCTGTTCCAAAAGATTAAAAGATTTATAATTTTTTTTACATTATATAAAATATTTATTTCAAAAAATTTGCTTTGCTAGTGTAGAATCTGAAAGACTGCCCTCATATTCTTTTAGACCAAGATATCATCACACCCACCTAATCATATACCCCACCTCAGTATTACCATGGTCATGTGTCTCAATAAACTTCTCATCCCTTACATTTTATCCCTGTTTTAGAATTAGTAAATCTGTATCTATTAACTGTGTATGTCTGGTAGTGAGGATATAAAACTGTCAGCTAGAGGTAAGCTCTATGAAGTAATTATCTGTCATCACTCTTTTCCTGAAATAAACTATAGCTTTCCAGGACTTCTGGAAAGCAGACAGTGACAGAAGATATTGCAAAAATAGGCTGAGTATCCTGCATTACAGCATCAGGTGCTTTTTGTGTTTCCACTTCTTCTGGACTGCCCATCATGCCTGTATGAAATTTACCTTTCCATTCTTGAGCATGGAATTCACCTATTAATGAGTTGTACTAAAAGTAAAATACCTTGGTGACTCTCAAATCACGCTTTGGACTTCAAAAAAAAAAAACCAAAACTGTTTTAAAGATATCTTTTCATGTAACAAACTGCTTTTGTTCACAGTCTCTCTCAGTCTCACCCAAACCAGTAATAAAGTCTGGGTCATGTCATTTCTAGATTCGTTATGTCAAATCTTTCCATAGGTCTTCACTAGAAACAAATATGTTCTTTGTAGATCTGTAGCCAAAAGAAAACTTGATACATATATCACACATATACATATATAATTTCAAAACACAAGCAGGAACTCAAGACTATATCCCTGTCTTTGCGAGCAGGATGGGTATTAAAGCCATTTTAAAATAAGATAGATAACTAGAAGTAGTTTACTTACTTTGCAAAGTGTTTTACTCTATTTAATATTTTTTCCATGCTAATAAATGATGGCTCTGCCTGCAGTGATCTTAGATAAAGATTCTAGCATTTTATTTTCAAAAAAAATGGAGGCAGCAGTCTGCTGCAATTCTCTTACCACCAAGGATCGGGAACTTCCATTCAGATCTCTTACTGCTCTTATACATGCTAGTTAATGTAAAAAGTTTTGGTGCCATGGTCATAAAAATCCACCAAAGATTATAAAAGTTTTCCTTTTTCCCAGCTTTACTTTTCAGCTTTACTAACCAGTGCTATCCACATATGTCTATTTGATCCACTTGAATACTCAACGAATTTTAAAAGGAAAAAAATATAGTTACACCAAAGCAATATTTGCAATGTTACTTTTTACCATGCTAAGGTGCCTCAGAGGTGTTTCCAACAGTTATTAAAATTGTTTTTACTAAAGGAAGCCAGTTCACCCTGGAAAAAATGGGGTTTGATAGTACCAGAAAGAAGACTGAAAATAGTTGTATGCCCCTGTATGTTTTACAAACAAGAGACAAACTAAAATCATATAATAGCAATATTCATATTCTGTTGGCATCAAAAGTCTGTAAAAGCATAAACTGATAGGTATTGATACTCATAGCTCTTAATAAAGCCAGAGAATTTGAAGGGTAATCAAGTGTTTGGTATACTGGAAAAAGACACAAAACTTTAGCCATATTTAACAATTACATATAAACACCTAGTTCAACCAAAAAAAAAAAAAACAGTTAAGATTACGTTTATTCTTCTTTATTAAAATTCCTATTGAATATCTAACTTACTACTTCCTTCACTGCTGACTGAGTTAAGAATCTACAAAACTATATCTGCACTGGAGGCAAGGCAGCCACTCTTCTGGCTGAAAGAACATGTATCCCAGGCAAAACAGTTTATTTTAAATAGCTTTTGTGAGTACAAAGGATGCTGAAGTGGTAACCCTTTTTGCCTCCACTTGAGGCAATTTACTACTATTACAGACAGACACTGTCTCAACACCTATATGCTGTGCCTTTCCTGTCCCCTGAATACCAAACACTGTTTTGATGAGGGACGTAAAATACTGCAGAACCACTGACTGAATGTACTTTTACTATTTTTTACCTTTTTAATGCTGCACAAAGCAAGTTTGAAAGCAGAAAAGCAAAATGGGCCCTGATGTTTTCATGTGCTTCTAAAAAATGTTTACCATTTATTCCTCCCAAATCAAAAAGCTTACATTTTTGCCTATAACTACAGGCTTGTCTGAATTTTGAACAAGAACAGGCAAGAATCTTCAAAAAAATCCTTTTCAAGTAATATTTATTTCCCTTTGATTTTGTTTTAAATGAAGATTCTATCATTAATCATATAAATGGCAAAAGAAGATAATTTGCACATAGAAAAATAATTACATACCTTATATTGGATGAGGAGACCATAAACCAAAATGTTTTTCTTTTTAGTTTCCCTTGCAAATTTCTTGATGCTAGCTAGTTCTTCCATCCCAATGCTGAAAGAGTTATTTCCTGATATATCCAAGTACACCTGGAAAGGAACAAATAAGGAAAAAAAAATCCATTTTTTCCATAGTATGCCATTCTAGACTGCCAAATTTTAGTTATGTTTTAGTGTTATGTTAAGCACACATAAAAATACAGACTAACAAATGTTTTTCTTAGCTAGCTTCTATTACTGTTGAACTCCACTGCTTATACATTTAGTGACATGAAAATTATTTCTTTTCAAAACACAATGAAACCAGAACACATCAAAACACAATGTAATAACTGCATCTTAAAAATATTCAATTAAATCAGAAAACAAACAGCATTCTCTTCTAAGTTCTATTCTAACTTTCACAGTTGGTTGGGGTTTGGGTTTGGGTTTTTTTTTACTATCAGGGTACTACAGAAATACAGGTGTTTTTCTTAAGCCTCTTCAAGGTTTTCAAGAGTTACATTCTTTAAAGTTTTATTTTGAATTTACTATCCTTTCAGTATAGCATATTAGTTGCCTAAATTGGATTAATTTCAAGATAACGCTTCAAGTTTAAAAAGCAGAAACTACTTCAAAAGAAGACAGGGATATGACTTTCCTGAGCTCCTGGTCAGGGAAAGGTAGGTCTCATATCCATCAGGGATATTGCACAAACATGGTGGGTCTTACGGGATCTGAACTAGTATTTCCTGGGAAGTTATCAACTAGTTCAACCCTTTCCCAAGGCTTATGTATTCCATAGTTTAATCAATTTACTTTACAAAGCTTCTATTAACTGTAGAAATCAAATTAAGGATGATGATTTGTACATATAAAGTTTTGGCATCTATTAATAGCAGAAACACCTCTTCCCTAAAACAAGAACATTTTTCTGGCTGAATGATTCCATTGATGTAAAATTTATCTGTGACCACTACACAGAAGTAGAAGTATAGAGGTTGTCTCAGAGACCAGAGCTTGGGAAAATTATTTCAAGTTCTCTTTGTACCTTACGTTCAATTTATCCTGACAACAAATAAGTCTTCACCCATCTTTCCTAGCAACACTTTTAAAAAAAAATGTTTATTGTCCAAGTGCATACTCATCAGAAGCAAAGCTACAGGCTTCTACTACACAGGCAGAAATTAATTTTCACATACTCGCTGTTTTGTTATTTTTTACCCAAAACAAAGCTAAGTACTGCTCATTTACAGCCATTTACAAGAAATTATAAAACTTATTATTTTAAGAGAACTCCACCTATCTCCTCTCTACCATTAACCTGTTTCACAGCTTTAAAAAGAGATTTTTCTCAAACTCACTTTTGTACTGAAATGCAAAGTATTCCAACTACAGAGCTGAAGTACCAGCATTCCTTTCTTTCTAACGGTAAGTTATAGCAACAAAATAAAAATCATAGCCATTCATCGCTTCTACAAACACGAATATGTATTGCTCAAAAAAGTAATGTCAGTTTAAGAGGATAATTAATTTGGTTATAATAGAGGTGGAGAGGACACTGGCTTGATACAAACAAATAATTGCATGAAATTTACTTCTGGGCTTCCTATTTCTCCTGTAATATTAATCTTTCCTTTTGTCCAAATACAGCAGTACAATTGCTGCTTCAGCTTACAGATGCCTCAAAATAATCCAGTCTGGCACCAAGATAAAGGATAGACTTTGAAATCTGTGGCAATTGACAGGCGGGAATATGGACAGAAGTCATCATGTCCAGCACAAGCTCATCCTTTTCCTGGGACAAGGTTCTCCAGGCCAGTTAAACAGACAATCTGGCACAATAATAACACCTGTCATTTTTACAACTAAAGAAGCTGACTATTGGAAGGAAAAATAAAACTTTTTCTCTTAATTATCAGATTGCTATGAAAAAGTTACTTGTGCTGCGAAATCAAAGAACAGACAAGAACTTTCCAATTACACACAAGTCTACATTAGACTGTTCCTAATTATGAGTTTAGAATTGAAGCAGTTAGCTGCTCTCGTCATTTATGCTTTCAGTTCTTCACTACCAGAAAGAGTTTTGCTTTTGAGACTAGAAATGCATAATGTTTCCCTTCCAGCTGGTATCTAAGACCTATGCATTTAATTGTCACTGTATTGCTTAAAATTCTGATTCACATTTGTCTGAGAACTATTAATATGCCCTTTTATGTCAAAAGAAAGTATCTTATAGGAGTTTTCATGAACAATTCTTTCAGGCTACATGTTAAGCAAAGTATATAGGAAAGAATAAAACAGAGGAAAATCCCACTCATGAGCCTTAGTGAAGAGGACACACAACACTGACTTTAATTAAAAACCACTGAAGGAAATTTTTGTCCCCCATACCATCTGTAATGAGTTTTAGGGATCAGAAGTTTAAAGGGCTTCAATGCTTCCTAGTGATTAATATGAGATAATGATTTGCTTAACTAATTCTTTAGTAATTTAAAACATAACTTCCAGATTTCCTATTTATTCCTTCTCGTATTTCTAAAAGATAGTGTGGTACTTCCATCAAATGAAAGTGTAGCACCACTTTGCAATTAGGGTGTATCATTTTTAAAAAATACTTTTAACAAATATATGTGTCTCTATGTTTTAAATGTCAGCAACTGTTTCCACCTCACTATGAGACTTTCATCCGCTGTCTAGTTCTGGGAAATTTCAAGTAGTTGCTGGATCTGGGGTATAGGAAGCAGGTTAAATGTATAATTTTCTCCTAAGGTTATTTTAGAAGGAGTTCACCTGAACAATTTGTGCATGCAGAAGGCTGCTCAAGCAAGTACACTTTCATTAAAAATAGTGCTGGGTTCTACAATGATTTGAAGGTGTAGTATCTCAGGGGCAAAACCCAAGTTTCACAGTGAAGCATTATTTGCATTCGTACTTGCTTCTTAGTAGATATTAAGACCAGAATATTTATAGCTACAATATTAAGTTCTCACATTCTGTGTGTCACACTAAAAAACATATTTAATTCAAAGTCCTGGCCAGAAAGCAGCTAAGAATCGGGCACAAAATAAGCATGCTTTTAACACCTTAGCTGGTTGATGAACAATTTCAACTTTATCTGCACACCCCCAAAATTTAACGTAGAGAGAAATGGTTTTTTACATTCTTGATATAAAAGACTAATGAAAACAATCTCAGTCCAGAAAAGAGCATTTTTCACATCCAGTAGCCTTGTAAATGGGTAACTGAATGGGAGGCTGCCCAGGAAAATGGCTGAGTCACCAGCCCTGGAGGTATTTAAAAGATGTGTAGATGTGGCACTCGGGGACGTGGTTTAGTGCTGGACTTGGCAGTGCTGGGTTAATAGTTGGACTTGATCTTAAAAGTCTTTTCCAAACTAATTTTGTGATTCTACGCAACTTTTTTCCTTTGTAAAAGTAATTAATCTTCATGATATCTCATTTAGTTGTAAGTTCAGTAATGAAATTTCATCATTTAAATTTCAGTTTAAGCTAAAATTCCAAAGTAAATGCTCAGTTTTACCCCCAGGTCACTACACTGTGGACTTTAGTAACTATTCAGGACCCATGAAAAATATTTCTTTTGCAAAAGCTTCATATATGGAATTATACTTTAAAATCACAACATATTATCTTGTGTTATTGCTGGAGAGTGTAATAAATGAAGTCCAGAGGCACACTCTTTGTGACAGACAGCATTAATGACTTTCATTCCACCCAATACTTCTCATCCCTACCTATTAAGCCAGAAAACAAAATGACAGAATTAATTGGAGCTGGTTACACTGCATGGAGACTTTCAAATCTACTCATATTTTCTGCTTTTTAACAGTCTGAATAAAATAAAAGTCATGTACACTTCAGCTGTCATTTGCATAAACTGGTAAATAATTCTGGCATTCATTTCAAATATTAAGATTCACTATTATTCTGGCATTCATTTCGAACAATGAAAAATTCAGCAAAAAGTACACTTTAAAACTTTTGCCACATACCAGAATAGACTTTTCAGTCTTACAACACCTCAGTGAGTAAAGTATGTACTAGTTACATTGCAAAGTACTTCAAAGTTAATTTTTAAGACTTGGATCAGAAAAGCAACAATAATTTTAAAACTTTGAATAAACTACATAGCATAGAAAAAAACAAAGCCACTTAATTCTGTTTCATCTCAGGATTTAAGCACAACACATGATTTGCAGCATCCCCAGCAGAGATGGAGCCCAACAGTAAGGCAGGAGTTAATAGTTCAGTACAACCAGCCAGCCACAATGAGTCTTTCATAGAAATATATAACTAATAAATTGTCATTTGCGAGTGTCAGTTTATGTCTTGACAGCATGCACTTGTTGAAGTGCAAATGAGGCTCTTTAGAGTCCAATTTACAGCTAGAATTTACAATTTTATTCTGAGCTAGTAGAAGTTTAAGCCTAGTCTAACATTTAAAAAATTTCATGAGATGCTTTCTACAGTAACTTACAGGAGTTACCTACCGAAATAAGGACAACTGGATGTAAGAGAGGAATATCTGATTTTTCCAATATATGCACTAGTTGCTGAGTTTCTTGAATGGCACACTTTTTATCCTAAATGAAAATAAATGTCTAGAATTATGGAAGACATCAAAACTATATAAAAAACTATCATAAAAACTATAAAAATAGAATTCAAAGATCTGTCATTTACGAAAAAAAAATCACCACCACCAACACCAACATAAAAACAAAACATAAGAAAACAAAACAACAACAAAAAAACCCAACATATCACTTTTTTTTTGTTTTGGGGGTTTTGAGTTGGTTAGCTGCTTGGTTTTAATATACAAATGTAATGGTATTGTTTGGTAAAGTTATAGCTTTTTGAAAAAAATGGAGATTAATAATATTACCCTTAAGAAATATCTATACATAAAACAAGATTAAGGGTCTTGATTGGTCTTAGATATGGTTCATCTATGGTTCATGGGAACCTTCCTGTTCCCATACTGTGACCCAAATACAGATTGCATGGCATGCATATGCCCAGAATGGGAAACACTAATTTAGACCATGGTGGCAATGCACAGTTAGATGACTACGCATATGACAGACTTTCCTTGAGAAAATTCACTTCAATACAACATCTATGAAAGGGAATCTTCAACCACTTTCAGTTTCAACCCTCTTGTTCAAGAATTCATGGCTGGTTTAACAACATAATTATGCTCAAAAATCCAGTTTGGTGCGCATCAGAAACATCAACTTTAGAATGGATACAGCATGAGGACAGAAATAATAAACAACTTACTATTCAGATACTTTATATTTACCATTACTAACAAGTTTAAGTGCGAAAGTAAAAGCATGCATCCTTACTACTTACGTTCACACAAACAAAATTGTAGCACTGTCCTGAAAAGATGCTTTGTAGATGGTTGTCATTTCTGCTTTGAGATATTGATACAGTTTCAACCTGACGAGACAAAAAAAGTCACAAATTTTACTTCTGCCTTAACTCCCTGTTAAAGCTTCCACTATTATGGCAGTTTGTTCATTCAACTTATCTTAAAATGGTAATTATTATTTCCACTACAAGAATTGAAATTTGCTCAGATTTTTAGACGACTCAACAGTGAAGCATGGAGCCCAACCTGTGCTGAAGCATCCTGCTAGGGAAACAGCAGAAACAGCCCTGGAAGCATCAGACACAAGTGCTGCTGCCCAGTTTAGGATGTTCAACTGCCACAGGATCAAGATGATCTAATGATTTTAGATCTCTAATTCTGAGAAAAATCTCTACAATATTCAAATATCTAGGTATTTTGTCTTCATGAAGCTAAAAATAAAAAACATTAAGTATGCATGAAAGACCAGATGTACTGGTATTGGTATTCTATGATACAACAAGACTCATCTAGAGTTTCTTCTGAAAATATTTCCTCAATGAATACTCTAAAATACTGTATTAATCTTATTTTGCAACCTATGACACAAGCTAAGAAACTATCTTATTCTAGTTAAAATAAAATGTAGATTCTACTACATTATCAGCTTCAGGATTGCCTTAAGTGAAAAAGCAAACTAGGTAGTAGAGGGGGAATTTGTTCCCCAATAGGAAATAACACTTTGAAGTAAATAAAAAAATCTTTAAAATAAGGCAAAAACCCCCCAACTTCATATTGCTTCTATCAAAGCAGCAAACCCCTCATTCCACTGCTCAACTGAGCTTTATTTCTGGTCAAAAGACATATTATATATCACAGAAAATGACAGAAGCAATACACTGCTGTACTCCCTCGAAATGTCACTTAATCCACAATCCAACAGAAGTACCAAATACAACATTTAAAATGGCTTTGCAATATTATCCAAAGCTGTATTTGTTTATTTTTTTAATACTCAGGGAGTTAACTTTTTGCAAAGGAAGGTGGTTTAAAACCCAAAAGTTGATATTTATGTTCTAAGGATTTCAGAAACATTTTGGGTTGAAATTTTGATAACATAGCCCCAGATAGCTGACATTTAATATTTTAAGAGGTTTAAAAAAAAATTCACAGAAGGTATGAATTACTTAAAAATAATTGAAAAATGCAATACTCCAGGGCTCTCCTGGCTTGAACCTCTGCAGATGTAAAATCAGAAATTCCTGGTACCTTTACAACCTTGCATATACTTTGAGGAACAGGAGCACACTGCATGCCAGAGTCTTTTCAGAAGGTATTTGGAACATGACCCAAGGCAGAAGGCCTACTTTTATTTTTTCCTTTGAGATATTATAATACAGGATGCTTAAGTATTTCTGAACATTTCAAAATTCATATAGTGTATCAGAATTTTGATTTAACTTCACAATTTGATAAAGTAGCATACTAAGCATTTTTTTACAGCCATATTTTTCAGAAAAAAATAAATCAAATTCCTCTGTTGGAAAAGAAAGCACAGTTGCCTAATTAGAAGCTTCAATAAATCATCAATTAACTAAAACTAATTCTTATTCTATCTGGCATGTTAGTATCCTATGCAAAAGTACTTTTTAAAATTAAAATTAATATTAATATTGTTATCAACTACTTGAGAGAGCAAAAATTACCTAAAAATACCACTTTGGTAAAAAGTGATTGTCACATAGCGTTTCAGTGTTTAAATAGAAAAGAGCATATGGATTTGCTTAATTACTTCTGGTCCTTGTACCAATTGATATTCAGCTAGTTCAAGAAGCAACGATGGCAAGAACATGAAAACAGGAATTATAAATATGTTTTCTTTAATGTTTCTTTTACTTATCAGATGCCCTGTGCTGAAGTTTCAACTTTATTCATCATCCACTTTCATAAAATCTAAAATTTATCCCAAGACATTGGGAAGCTGTAAAAGTTATTTAAATTATATCAGAATTTAAAATTACAATTAATACCAATCCAGCAGATAGACAATGCAATCATTAGGAAATTAGTGAATTTCTACTGGTGAAATGTTAGTTCATTTCCTACTTAAAAATAACCAGATATTTTTATATGCTGCTTGTGGATATTTATCCATTCACAAAAATAACACACAACTTTATCCAGTCCATTGAATTTCATGCGACAGCAACACCTTGTCACTGAAAAAGCAGGAGTAATTTCCAGTCACAGAAGAAAACACCTTCAGCCCCCATTTAGGTTTGTCTGCTTCAAAAGAAAGGGCTAAATAACAACCTTAAGGAAAGATTCAACTTATGTCTTTCAAAGTAACATATCTTGAGCAAAACATTCATTCCTTAGTTATACTGCTTAGAGTAACAGTGATTAAAATACTCTTAAAGTACTTTGCAAGCAATAACTGTTGCCTAAAAAAATTTTTTTAGAAAAGTTTTTATTTTCATTTTCTTTATCAGTTCTATTTTTAGGTCTTTTTTCCCCCTGCTGTTGGCATTACATGTTATTAGAGTCTCTCTCAGAAATCCCTCAAACAAAATTTCTTTTAAATTCTTCCTTAATGATACATATAGGAGTCAAGAAATATCTCAAAAGTAAATATGGTTGCTACTAAGAATTAGTGTCAAAACTGGCTAAAATGTTAAAATAAATTTAGTTTAAATTTCAGATAATATGTACTTTACTGAATGATTCCCAACTGGTCTATTATTTAGATCAATTACCCTCCAATTCACCCTTTGAAAAGGCCCAGCTTTCAGTGCAGTATATTTAACTTGCTTACAATAATTATCACACTGCACAAAATGAAATCTCTCTCTCTCACAAGTTTACAGTGCTTCATTTAAGAAATCATAGGCCAGTGGATATCATAGAATCATAAAATGGTTTGGGTTGGAAGGGACCTTAAAGATCATCTAATTCCAACCGCCCCGCCGTGGGCAGGAACAATGTCCACTAGACCAGGATGCCCCATCCAACCTGGCCTTGAACAGTTCCAGGGATGGGACATCCACAACTTCTCCGGGCAACCTGTTCCAGTACCTCACTACCCTCACAGTAAAGCGTATATCTAACCTAAATTTTCCCTCTTACGGTTTTTACCAATTACTCCTTGTCCTATCACTACATTTCCTGACAAAGAATCCCTCTCTGACTTCCCTGCAGGCCCCCTTCAGATATCGGAAGGTTGCTATGAGGTCTTCACACAACCTTCTCTTCTCCAGGCTGAACAGCCCCAACTTTCTCACCCTGTCTTTGTAAGGGAGGTGCTCTAGTCGCGTTATCGACTTTGTGGCCCTCCTCTGAACTTGCTCCAATAGTTCCACATGCTTCTTATGTTGGGGGCACCAAAAGTGTGCCCCCAACACAAAATTCCTTTTAGGGTTAGGAGTTCTGTATATTGGCAACGCTTAGCAATTTTATTGTTTAAAAACAAGACAATACATGATTTTTACAGATTTTAACCCTAAAGCTTCACTAAATGAATACTGAAGGATGTTCCAAGGAACAGTGCTAGAAATCAATTAAATAAACTGATTTAATAAAGCCATTAAAAAAAAAAAATCAGTCCTGTATCAGTAGAATCCCTTCAATTTCATGTCCTCATTACCTTGTTTGAGTTCATTTTACATGTGTTTTATTCCAAGGCACCATAAGTCCAGGTGCCTGACTCACCCAATAATTAACCAGTTATGAAATGAAAATTTGGCAACATGTTGTAAATTCTAACTAGTTCTGATCTGAGGTTGTTCCGTTCAAAGTTACAGTGTTGGTTATCAAACATGACATATGCATTGATTTTTCTTGCTGGTTTGGAAGTGCTACTCATGGTATCATCAAAGGGATTATATGCAACCATAATTAACAGATACAAATAAGTCAACACTTTAAGAAGTATATGAGTAAGTGATGTCTTCCTACTAATTGCAGATTAGTTTACATGCAGACAAAAAAGAAGAAACAGCAGTGGAGATGGTGTTAGTGAAATGATTACACACTTCTGCTCTATTATACACTTATTCAGACAAAAAAGATCTTATTCAACTCTGCTAATGTCTTAGACTTATAAATATAGCATTTGATAGACATAAAGCATGATTCCATACTAAATACAATTGTTTCTAAACAAAAACTGTAAGTGTAACGTCAAATGAGATTTCTAGATATAAAACACCAATAGAGTTTGCTAGAGAAGAACATCATTCTAATAACTAAGTACACCATGCAGAAGATCAACACACATGAATACAACCATTACAGAAGTAACACTATGGAAATCAGGAAACCTGTGGTTTTGAAAAACTATTCACTGTCAGTTTGTCTGGGTAATAGGAAGATGTAATATCATCACATAAGATACAACTAAGAATCACTCCAAGACCAGGTAAAATGATCACCAAATGTTAATCACCTTTGGGAAAATGGAAATATGATAGTTCTATTAGAAGGAATAATGAAAAAGGGAAAAGGTAGCTAAATGACAGTAGAAAATTCCATCAGTATCCAAAAGCAAAGGCTTCAATGTGCATTCACTGTGAGTGAAATGTACCCCTAGGACTCAAAAAAACTGATTAATTAGATTTTGCACTTGCAGTTCTGCAGGAAAAAAACTTACTCTTTAATTGGTTCAGACTTTAACTTCAAAGTAACAAAAGCATTTCCTCTGTAACATATTTGTAACAATTTGGGCTTACTGAATTCATAAAATCTAAAGAAAATGGCCTCTGTTGTCTGGATTCAATTTCTCCTCTAGTCTAATATATACATTTTAAGTGCATCTGTAAGATCCCCTTCTACTGCCCAACTGGGCAGAAGATGCTTCTTTCTTGGTAACTTCCACACCTGGTGTCAATCCTGTGTAATAAATACTACGCTGACACAGGAAGTCTCAGTTGCTGTATTCACATTATTTAGACCATTTCTTATGAGTAGTGGCAACCAGAAACACTAAATTAGTCATACAGTTGAAAGCCATAGAGATGCACTTACTTTTATTTGTCTTTTCAGAGATTCAGGAAGGAGAAAACCAACTTGTGCAACAGTTTCATTTGCATCGGTAATAACACAAACTTCTTGTGAAAGGTTGTCTGTGATTGAGAAAAAAACCTTAGTATTTCATGCAAAAATAAATCAATCAAAGTTACCAATCTGCTAAATATTACCCTCAATCCATACTGCTGTCTCTCGACAGAACCTTTTCAACAACTGTAAATTTAAAGACTACTTATTTCAAGGCACAGTTAATCTAACTACATCATTTGTATAACATACATTTCAAATATAAAATTCAGTTTATATTTTTTATGATTTTCTGCAATGTGAAATCATCTCATGAGGCCTGTCCCCAAAGCCCATTTAAATAAGGGATTCCTTTTACATGATATTTTTCAGGTCCACATTAATGACACTAGATGACAATCAAGAAAATGTTTTTAAAAGTTCATATGATGTATCGCTTCAACAGATCACAGAATGCAGTATCAGCAATACTGAGAAAAGAAAAAAAAAGCAAAAAACCAGGGGATAGCATAAATCTGCTTCCCAACAATATGCACTACAAAATCACCCCCAAAAAGTATATTGAAAATACTGTTCAGGGAGACAGCAAATATAAATATTCACTGCAACATCAAAGAAGTTGAAGAGTCACTGACAAAGATCATGGAATGGGCAATTTCCTAGATCTTTTACTGGTGCGGGAAAATATAGTATTTTGTTGCTATCAAGTTTCAAGTTACTGCCTGATCTGTTCCATAAAGCCCACAGTTCAGAAAATTAGTATTTTCCCTAGTTATTTATTAGAGGTATTAGATTTGGTGAGCATTTTCCTTTCTTTAAGCAAATAAATCAAAATAATTCAAGTCTGAAATTCTCAGCTGTAATGCAGAAATTTATCCTTTAGATGTTGAATCACTATGCAGAGCAAAATATAGGATTTCTAATATTTTTGGGGTAGCCATTTCATAAGTAAAGAGAAATTTCACAAATGTAAAGTCTAATTACATTTAAAGCAGACTTCAATGAAAATTCAGGGACAGAAATATACCAAACACCACCACAAAACAAATTAGTAGTGAAAGACATAAGAGAAATTATAAAAATATGGTCTAACTGCTCTTCAAACAAGTCTGAATATAAGGATACATATTTTTTGCATGTGGAAAGGTTTTTTATAATTACATACCACACAATAAGTTCATTCAGATGCATTTCTTAAGTAAACAACTCACTTTCTACTGTAAACTCAAAGACTTCTTTACAAAAATAGACATAAAGACCTGAAAATTAACTTTAAAGCCGCTGTAGAGTTAACATTATTGGAAAGTGTCTTGTAACTTTCAAGCAATTTTCTGTGAGTAGGAAGAGTAAATTAACCGCTGAGAATCACAAAGAATAATTAGAATGATTTTTTGAATCATTTATTATGTCCAATATTTATAATGTGACAACAAAAACAGTGGTAGCAACTGACTTCATATTCAGTTAGCAAGAATGGGGAGGGAGGAAGAAAGAGAGAGAACAATGAACATCTGCTTATAAACCATCACAACCAGATGAAAGTGAGAATTAAAAAAAATGCATGGCCAGTTCTCACAGGACTGGAAATCACAGGATACCACAACTGCAGGAGAAATTATCTTCCCATAGATTCACTAGGCAAAAAAATATATTGAACATGCATCACAGTTGTCTTCTACTTAATACAGAATAATTTTACCATCTGAAAAATGGTTCAATAGGAAACCATATTGAATTAATTTCTTATCACCAGAAAGAAACCAGTGGGTAGATTTAAATCAGAGCAAGAGTCACTTGAATTTAGTACTGTACATGGAATGCAGATACAAGATAGATATACATAATAAACCAGACTGGCATATCAGATTTCAAGAACTCAGATTCTATTGAACTAAGTAATTTAATGAAGAAGGTCAGATTGGAACAATTACAAAAATGCACATGTGGAAGAAGGCTGTGGAACCCCAAAAGGCACCATAACTTAGGCTCAGACAGTTCTTTTAAAAAGAAGTCTGTAATCAACAGTAAGTGTCAAAAGTAATCTCACAAGAGGCTGCTCAAAGACTGCAGCTATAAAGACCCATCTCACTCCTCTCTCCAGCCCTCTTAGAACTCTAACTTCCTGCAACAAACAAGAGAGGCAATTACCAAAAAAATGACTAAGATATGCAGGTTGGATTTAATAAAGAGGAGAGAAAATTCAATGAAGTGTGGAAAAATGTATTTTTAGTCTGGAGAAGGAATGTAATGTTCTAAGGGGAAAGTCTATTAATAAAGTATGAGAACATTAAAATAATGATAATACACAAATTGAAAAGATACTGCATGCTTTTAAATGATCAAGGCAGCGTACAAAGGAAGGCTAGGAAATCATCATGTATAAAGTCAGCATAGCAAAGCAACAGTTATGTTCTAGTTGAGGTTTGAAACTCATTTTCCATTTAAGTCCAAACTGTTTCAAGTGGTCAAAGACCTCTGTGTTAATTTAGACAGTTTGCACCTTTGCTGAATTGTGGAAAGGAAGACCAAGTGGAGCCTTCCTCCCCAAGACTCTGGTAAGCTGATGGAGCTCCATGGCTCAATGTAATCATGCTGAACACAGCAAGCACATCTGGAGTGCTGGCTGGTAACTCCATGAATTCCATGAATTCTGCTGCCTGCCAGTAAATCTAACTGCATGCAGCATTTCATTCCTGGTTTTCAGAATTCTGTTTGAGTGAATGAAACAGCCATTCTGGAAAGCCACATCATGGCCATGTCACAAAGAATTTTAATACTCAGCTAAAACCATTTTGTTTTCCATCAGACCATGGATAACTGAGGCTGGAAGGGACCTCAGAAGGTCTCTAGTCCAAACTCCTTCTCAAAGCAGGATCACCCATGAGGTTAGGCCTGGTCACTCAGCCCCTCGCCCCTCCCACACTTGAAAACCTTCAAAGACAGAGACTGCACAATGTCTCCAGGCAACCTGTTCATTGCTTAATTGTCCTCATGGTGGAAGAGCTTTTCCTTTTTCTTGAGTTGGAACTTCACTTGGTTCAGTTTTTGTCTATTACCTCTTGTCCCCCTACAATGCACCACTGTTCTACTTCACTTCCCTACTTTCTGCCATAACTTCCTTTTCATTCACCAAACAATTTTTTTTGCTCTTTTCTCACTATTGCTCTTTTCTCACTATTGCATTACATATCAAACTCTCTATCTTGCTTTGGCTTCCTTGTCCTCAACTTAGTTTAAACCTATTATTTCCCTGGAAACCTCCTCTTCCAATACTCCTCTCCCACTAACTCTCAGCTTCTTTCCAGATGTACCCTATTATGGAGTAATGCTCCCCATTCACATGTATCACATTTGATCTCATCCATCACTTTTAACATCCACTCAGAGTATATTTTTTGCATAATATAAAAAATAGTTAAAACCCTGCACTGCCAAATTTAAACACTACATTTCCCTATCGGGAATTTTTTTTTCATTAAAGCTAAATTTGATAGAGAATTTCAGAACGTGTTCCACTACACCTCCCTTTCTTTTTTTCCTCCATCAGAAAAATTCATTTTCAAATTTTCCATGCCCCTCTTCAATATCTTGAAAACTTTAGATCACATTATTGTTTGGCAACACCTGCCACAGTCTTTATCCTAGGATCCTACCCAATTATAAATTAACTTGTGTTCATGTTTATGGAACTAACTACCTTAGTTAGATAGTGTATTAAGTGTACTGTAATAAAAGACTTAAAGGTTTACCCTGAAAAGCATGCCACAAACAAGCAGCAATTAAAATAATACTTTGTTTCAATAAAGATCATAAGTATCATATCCTAGGGAATTAAAGCCATAAGAAAAAAAATGCATCTGAATAGTAAATAGGTTTTAGCCTACAAACATATTTTTTTTCTCTTAATTGCACATAGGTGTGCATACATACACTTGTTTTTGCATACATATGCTCATTCCACATCATTCTTGATCTGCCGTTACAATTCGTATTATTTTGGAAGCACATTCTATTTATCAAAATTTGGAAGTTCACAATGAGTTCAAAGAAATAAATTAATTTACCAGAATTCTATTTTCACTTTCTACATAGCAATGGAAATCCAATATGGTTCCCCCTGGCATCCTTAGAAACATCTTTGTTATGAGATGCTACCACTGTAAACCCAAGAAAAATGAAATAAGTACTGCTGAGCATTTAGTCCATTCATGCTCAACAGAATGAGTTTAAACTGTTATCCAAGCAACATAGGTAACCAAAAATATCTAACATTTTTTTTTTACCCATTCCACATGTTTCTGTAGCCTCAAAAACTAAACGTCAAACTTGACACTGCCTCTACCAATATTTGTATACAAGAAAGAAAGGAAGATTTTGTGGTAGAAGACAAGAAAGGGGGTTATTTCCTCCTGACAGTAACTATTCCAAGGAACATTTCCCCACCTGACAGTCTATTTCTTTGCCTCACAGCAGAGAACAGCCACCAGTTCATGAGCATGCCCACGAAAACGCAGTTTACCTCGTGTAAGAACTCTGTCCTTTGATAAACAATGCTTACCTCAATTTTTATTTTTATAAAAAGTCACATGGTTTCTTCACAGAACCCAAATCATAATATGTAGTTCTCAAGAACTATAAACAGTTTGAAGGCATTAAGATATTTTTCTTGGCACTTGCAAAAACATAATTTTACCTACATCAACAGACACTTCTTTAGCCACATGTGAGGGCAAAATATCCAATCTGTAAGTGAAGTCTCTTGTGAAAAAGTCATTGAAAAAGAAAGGCCCTTAAGAAAAGGAGAAGGAGAGTGAGTCAAACTGTAAGTTATAAACTTCTACTGAGAAGCATCATTTAAAGTTTACATGTTGGAACTAGAGTTCAAAGATACCTACCCTGAGGGTAGTAGTCCTAATGGAATTTTTTTAGGATGTTTTGTATTAACCTGATCTTAACTACCTTTCTAGATGAGTCATGCTTATTGTAAGACAATGTTTTCTTACTTCAAGACTATTAAAAATAGGCGTGTGCCACCTTGTCTGCATACTCTACAAGTTTATACCTGCTTAACTAAATAAAAGTATTACATTTGCTGTTTATAAAACAAAGGAGGTTAGGATTCAGACTTTCATAATACAGTTATAAAAAAGACTTGAGGAAGTTAACAAATTATGAAGAAACGTTTTAAGAAAACAGTTTCAAAAGAAAAATAACTCATTAGTCTATTTACATTAGTGAAATGTTTCTTTGTGTTGCCTTAAATAAGAATGATATATATACATATAGATATCTAAAGTACAAAAATGTATTTAGGTATGTATGTTTTTCTTATTTCCATCTGAGTCAAGTTTAGCAAGCTCAAAGTTGTTGAACTGTTGAAGGAAACCAAAAGTTTCAATGACTAATAAATATAAACTGTAGATTACATGAAATTTGGAATTGTAGTCAAAAAATTAAATGTGTACACTCTAAATGTGTTCTTCATCACTACTGAATTCATCCAGTGATAAAATGTGCATCCAGCACAGTAAACTGGGTAACTTAGTAAGAAAGAAATCAGTTGTGAAGACTGCAACAGTAGTGTGGATCTGGTGTGAGGCCAGAGCCCTTTGCACCCTACACCCTCCTAGCCCACACATTTAGCTTCAGGGACATCTCCCAAGAACCTCAGCAGCAGGCAAGGTGGTCTTCCAAGACCTGGTACTTTGCAACTCAGCTTCACAGAGTCATGCAGAACTTCTCCTTCAGGCTCTCTACATGGCACAAAAGGGGAATGACAAGTAGGAGCGCATCATTTACAAGAGCATGTAGTGATAGAACAAGTGGGAATGGCTTCAAACCTGAGAGTAGGTTTACATTATATACTAAGAAATTCTTTATTGTGAGGGTGTTGAGGCACTGAAACAGGTTGCCTGGAGAAGTTGTGGATGATGCCACAGCCACATGGGGGTACATCAGAATGATGCTCAAAAGGACCAGAAATACGTTGTCCCCCTAAATATGCTTTAAGTGGGGCATGAACTGTGAATAAAGTACCTGTCTAATATTATTTGCATGGTTCAACTGCCCACTACCAAAATAAGTCATGTTATAACCACGTGAAGGTCTGGTATTTGAAGTCTTTTAAAGGGCACAAAATAGATAAGGCACAATTCTCAAACTGCAGCCTTGGAGTACTAACAGTGCCATTTCAAAACCCCATTAAAGATAACTAATTATGTAACGTAACTCTGTTATGCAGTGTCCTAATTTGCTACAGAGGACTCATTATACTGCTTACATAAGGAGAAAAGAACATGTGCAGCTTCTCCTTCCTGAACTCATGCAATGCAGCAAGAAGCAAGTCTAAACTTCAGTGATCTTAAAGTTTTTCACAGACACCAGGCATAATAGAACTACTGTGGTAACTGAAGTAGATATATTGCATGCTGCCACAGCAACAGAACACCGGATAAGTAGAGATCAAGTAAGGGATTAGCCTGATTGGCCACCATGAAGGTCTTCCTTTTTACTTTAAACTACACAAACTTTTTATTATAACCATCAGCTGGAAAAGACTGTACTGGCTTCAGGGAAAACAAAACGTGATAACATGATGAAATACACATATAAAATATGTATCTATGAAGAGAACATCTGGTCATTTACAGCACTTTTTCTCCAGAAACAGTTAGTGAATGTTCCTTTCATTCAAATAAGCTGCATTCTCATTTTCTACACAAGCAGTTTTAGAAAACCTGCTTGGAATATATCTTAATTTTAAAATAAATTATAACTAATCTCCTTTAATGACCTATGAGATTACTGAAGCCTTTGTGTATACAGAAACATGGAAATTCACTCGTTGTTTCAAATTTATAATTTTTTGAACACTACTGAGAAAGGGTCTGGCTTCATCTTCTTCACTCTGCCCCATCTCGTATTTGTACACGTTGGTTATGATCCCCCTGAGCCTTCTCTTCTCCAGGTAGAGCAGTCCATGCTCTCACAGCATCTCCTCATATGACAGACATTCCACTACCTTAATCATCATGATGGCCCTTTGCACGACTGTCTCCAGAATGACCATGTCTTTCCTGATGGGGGAACCCGACACTCCAGATGTGACCTCACCAGTGCTGAGCAGTGGGGAAGGATCAGCTTCCCCAACCTGCTGGTCATGCTCTGCTCTACTGTAGCCCAGGGAGCTGTTGGCCTTCTTTGCCCCAGGAGCACACTGCCAGCTCCTCTTCAATTTGCATTCCACCAGGACCTCCCAGGGCCTTCTCTGCAGAGCTGCCTTGCAGCTGGTCAGTCTCCAGCCTGTAATGGTGCTTCCAAAGGGTAGGAGTTTGCATTTCCCCTTGCTGCATTTCACGAGACTCCTGTTCACCCACTTCTCCAGCTTGTCAAGGTCCTTCTGAATGGCAGCACAACCACTTAGTCTATGAACTGCTCCTCCCCATATTACATCACCTACAGACTTGATGAGGGTGTGCTCTGCCCTATCATTCAGATCATCAGTGAAGATTTTAACTGGTGTGGATCCCTAGGGTAGACCACTAGTAACTGGGCTCCAGCTGAAATTTCCTCTTTGAGCCTGGCAGTTCAGCCAGTTTCAATCCATGCCCACTTTTCTGGTCTGTACTTCATCAGTTTGTCCATGAGAATGTCATGGGAGATAGTGTCAAAAGCCTTGCTGAAATCAAGACAAACCATATCCACTGCTCTCCAATTATTTCTACATTTCATTGCAGAAGGTTTGTCAGGCATAATTTCTGCTTTGTAAATTCATGTAAACTAATCCTAGTCACCTTCTTGTCTTCAACATGTTTGGAAATCCTGAGCTTGAAAGCTAAGAGTGTGGAACCTCTAACAATCCTAGACAAAACAACATTTTCAAAAATTCCAGGCTTCCGGCTATGAAGATAGAAGCTCTTCCTTTCCTGTCAGAACCAGAACTTCCAAGGCTTCCTAGCCCTATCTTCTTTTGTGCCTAAAAAATTCAGTCAGGTAGTTCTAACAATGCATATAATATGTAGTCTTTGACCACTGTAATAACCAGAAGCTTTAAACTTGTTGCATACCTGGAGGTCTAGATAAGCACCTTAAGAGAATACCACAGCAATGTCTGAGCTCAGTTTAGGCTTTCTAGTTTGTCTATAGTGACAGAGCTGATCTCGGCATGGTATAATTTACCCAAATCAGAAGCTAAGCCTGTAACAACAGATGAGACACCGAAGCGAACAATGTTCACACAGGTTTTGCTCTAGTTTTCTTAAATAGGAACTACATTCTTTTCTCTGGAAAGGTATTTTTAATCCCAAGGTAAGTCCCTTTCTCTTCATCAGTTTCTGCGGTTTTATCCCTCAGTTCTCAACAAGGAGTCAGGTAAGAGTCCCCTGAATCACTGCCTATCAGTTTACAATAACCATCGGTGTGCTCGTTACACATGCAGTACTCGACAATTCTTCCTTTCTATACTGACTCACTCTAAAAACAATCTAGATAAAGGCTAAATCCAGTCTTTATGTTAAACTGCTATGAAACCACTGTTACCAGTACAAAAAAAAGGTTAAAAAACAGTTCAACAAAATACTTATAAATTAATGAAATACCTTAATATCATGTAGTTGCTGTATTAATTTAGGTAATAACTGGCTGTGTGTAAGACAGTGAAGAGCCCTAAACAGTTAATGTTTAATTTTCAGTCTTAGCTTAGAAAGATAGAACATATTCAGAATTGATCTGCAAAGCAAAGAAAAAAATAAATTGTTTATTCCTTATAAAGCCATTCAAAATTTATCTCTGTTTGACTGTAATATACACAGCTTTTTATAAGGTTCTCTATTCTAAGAGAAGTAAATAAAGGTAAATATGCATAATACAAGTATTCCAGTGAACAAGCTAAAACAACTTGCCTCAGCACATTTCATCCATCATAAAACCTTTCTTAATGACATTTCAAATTATAGCACACAAGATTCTTAATTAGACTCAGAAATATGCAAACTGACAGTCACAAGGACAAACACATACCCTTAATAATCGATTCAGCTGCATACAGATCCCGCTTGTAGGTCACCTAAAGGACAGACAAGCCTCATTAGTTTTAACACAGCAGGAAGGAATGCAAAACCAATAAAATAATGCCCTGAAGGCAATTCTTTACATTTTAAATACCATAAACAAATGATATTGTCAATTTCTTAATTTTGGTAAAATATCACTGGCAGGTTATGAGAACAGAGGTTGCCAAAATTACTGGAAACTTGAGGAAATCCTTTTTTAAATACTTAGATCTGCTTAGAACTCCTTTGAAACCTAAAACTATTTTCAATTCTCTGAAGAATCATGAACACATGATACTGCATCTATTTTCACACATTCATTCTACTCTAGTTTTATTGCAAAAAAATTTCATTTTTAATAGGACTCAAGATCATACAAATGACAACCAAGGAGCAATCTAGTTATTATTTTTACTAATATAGGTGCAATTTTTCAGTAGTGCAAGACAGTTGCTGTTAATGAGAGTCCAATTAATCAGTGGGAGTCAGTGAGACTACAAGGAGACTTTGTGTGAGCTTTCAGAGAATTAAAAACCAGCAAGATCTTCTTGAAGGTATTCATCAGATCAAGTTAGATGGACAATAAGACGCTGAGTATTTACTTGGTACTTGCAAAAAACACCTTTCATACTTGCCTTTGTACCCTAATGGTGGTTGACAGTCCCAGTAATAGGCTTTGCAAATAAAATAATGTAAAATTAAAGACAGCATCTACCCAAGACATTACCAGTCTTTGGTAGCAGTGTCTTCACAATGACATACTGACAACTGACATAACTCTTTAATATTTGTATTTGGTTTGACTGTAACTTCCATTTATGTTAAATAAAATTTTATTGGATTTTCTGCATTTGTTTCTCTAGTCTGAACAACTCTTTTCCTCCAAATGTCCTGCAGAGGATTCCAAGAGCTCTAGTGCTGCAAATTAAATCTTACAGCAGAAGGACACTGTTGTAGGTATCAGCATCTTAGTCTCCAAATAAGTGATTATTTGATTTTACCATAAAGATTCTTGTAACCACTTTCCTTTTGATCTCATAAATGAAGCTCTGTATTGTAGTTAGAAACAGACAAATAATATTACCTTCCTCATCACTTCCTCAAGGCATCATATTCTTTTAAAATTAAAAACTTACTTCCACACAGTTTGTCCTGCAGAGGAAGCAGCCAGAGAATGAATCTAGCCTGAGAAATCTTACGTGTCTGAGTTTACATGCAAACATTTACATGTCTACTTACTGTTGGGAAGAATCAATGTCTTGAAATTAATTTTAAGGACAAGGAGTGACCAATTTTGTTGCAAAGTTTCTTTCTATTAAGTTTCTAGAGTGCTTTTACACTGAACTTTCAGTAAAGCGTAACAGACTATCAACTAAAAACCTTTCAAGAAACAAAGCTAAGGTCTGTCAGAAGTGGTCTCACATACTCTAAGGTTCACAATCTCTTTGAGGTGCAAAAGTACTTTTAAACAGTCTGATCTAAAAAAAAAAATTAGGTACAGTCTTCAAGAAAACAGCAGAAAAGAATAAAATGCAAGAAGGAACCTTCAAAAAAAATCTCCTCTGAAATTCTGAGCCAGACATCAGCAAATACTTTTTAGAGTGGCTTCCTAAAGAAATAAATCATTTGAGACCATATCCCATTCTCCATATGTGTTTCTTTTATTATCTTTGATTCTATAAGCTAATTTCAGGTTAAGCTTCATGAAAACAGTAAAGTTAACAGAAAAATCCTGCCAGACAGCACAGGTGACCACCATTTACCAGTCAGAGAAGGATAGATTCTCTACACCCCTTTCAATAATGACTAAAGTTTCTCTTAACTTATGGATATTCACAATGCCTCTGGATTTTCCTGTGTTGATTAAGACATGTTCTTGCAATTTAGCTGATACTTATTAAAAAAGGCAGACAACCATGGCATATAAACCTTTTGGTTTAACTCAAACCACTGATTATTTTAGTATGAATGTGCTTCAAACAATTTAGGAGATTAGTCAACACAACAGTTAATTGTCCTGGGCAGCTGTACTGCTTTACCTCTAGTTTCACTAAAGCGGATTTGCATTCTAGGTTCACCCCAGCTGGAAGCAATTTAGATTTAGCCAAATCAATGAGTAAGAATACTTTACTTGACACTCCATACCACAAAGTAAGTAAGGCAGTATTATCCACTCTTCACAGGTGAGGTGCAAAACATCATGGGGGGGAACAAGAAAAATGATGCATAGGATTTCTCTTTGTAGAAGACAGATTTCTACCTCATCCATTTTTGCTTTTCTTCTATCACATTACGAATCTGAATCTCTACATGCTTATAAAATTCAATCATTTTTTCATGCTCATCTCTGAAGGTTCCTTATTTATCAACAGTTGCTCAGAGCTTGAGTCTGGATTTTACTACAGTATTCTAGATGCACTTGTAATATTAGAACATCTCTAATTTCATATTCTTGTTTCTATATCAATGGCTGATATAAGGTATTTTTGCCCACACACAGTGGAAACTTGCTATCTTCTGTGATTCCTACACTACTTTCAAAGTCACTGCCCTCCAAGAACTATTCTCTAAATACGATCTATACTTGGTTTGTTTCTAAAAACACTCCTATATATTTGGCTGCAATGAAAAGCATACCTTTTGTATAAACCGTTTGCTAAACAATCCTTATCAATAGGTTATTTCTGATCAATTATATTTTTATTTACAAATCTTTAAATCTTTGTCTGAAAAGTTTATCAGACGGATGTTAAATACCTTAGACACAATAACAGTTTCTGTAGAACTGTACATGGTGAGAATTACCTTTTGAAACGTATCAATTATCTAATGTTTCATCTATTTAATGAGAACTAGTAAAACTACAGTCATCCTATTATTAATTAAGATGCAATGCAGTAAGAAGTCAAACTTCTGCAAACTGTGTGTTGTATCAGCATTACCATGTTATCAGTAAAATTATAATCTTGTAATAAAGTCTTGAAGTCAATTTCACAAAATAAGTAAATTCCATGTTGGTTGACATTAATTACATTAGTCCCTTAACTCTTCATTAATCAAGTTTTGCCTGTAGAAGAACACCCTTTTTGTTTCGTTGGTCAATATCAAACTCACAGGCTTCTAACTCCGATTCTCACTCCTCATGTGACAATACTATTTTTTGGTTTTTTTCCTCTTGAACATCCAATGTTCCAAGATTTTCAGAATGTTGTTGCTGCAATCCAGAATATCACTAGACCAAATACTAGAACTCAACACAAATACCTCACTGTCACAGAACATGAAAACATGACCTGCTTATTTAGCAAAGGCAGAATAGTCTTACTTATTAAACATACCTCTACTTTTCGGTATAAGAAACAATCTATTTTATCTATTTAATAAAGCCACAAAATCATGAGACAGGGTGTTTTGTTTTGTTTTGTTTTCCCATGTACCCTTCTCTCTCAATAGACTGCAAGTTTTCGCTACCTAGGAAGATGTTCTTTTAAAAGTTCCCCAAAGTTATTCCTATTCAATATTTAAGAGTCTTCTTCATACTAATTTAGCTTGATGAACACTTCAGATTTACAAAACTGCACAGTAAATGCAAAAATATAACTCTTTACTGAACAAATACAATAAAGTTATGATCACACATACACAAAATGTATTGCATTTTACCTTAATGAAGTTTTTCCCCTCTCTTATACTAAGATATCATACAGATCTCCTTCGTATGGAATATTTTTGTAGGATTATAAAATAATCATGTTTTTTAGAAACGGTGAGGATTTTTTGCTCTGTCAGCACTGTCTATAAATCCGTATCAATGTTTTAAAAATCTTCTTACATTGATTTTTTCATCTGTGTTATACACACCTATATATTAGAGTCCAACAAATACATTCTGTTGATTTCATACTTAAAGAGCATATTGCCCCAGAATATTTAAGGTAATTTTGCTTCAAAGATGGCAAGCACAGAGAAACTGAAAATGTGGTGTTGATATTCTCATTCTGTTTCCCTTTTTTGCCATCCTGATCCCAATATCTTATAAATAGCTATATAATAACTACGTTTAAAATAGAACACATAAATATTTATAACGCTGAAGCAATTTGAATGTTCCTGCTTGGTTGTTGTCACTACAAAGAATTATTTTAATTTTGCAATTTGTTCCCAGAAAGTAAATGCACTATGTCTTGCTTTAGCTCCAACAATGACTTTGAAATGTTGCTTTTCCTAATGTACAAGTAGACACTCCTCAGGTACAATAATCAGTACTAATTCAAGAAGACAATAAAAGTCATTTAACGTTATGTAGGTTGTACACCTGATAAATAAACTGAATTCTTACAAATATCTGATCTTTAAAGATTCAAGATCCTCATAGGATGAAACTGGTTTGTAATACTTGAACTTTAGAAACTCTCCTCCATCTATTAATTGACAACAGATTTTCAGTTACACATCCTCTGAAACCTCAACTGAACAATTCTTAGGTATTTCGGTTCTTATTTATCCGGATGGAATATCCTTTTGCCTCATGTTGAAAAAATAAGACTGAGGCCATTGGGAGCACACCAGTTCTTGGCATATGAAATATCATTTATCATAGCACTGAAAAACCTAACAGGAAAAACCAAACATATATAACAAATTACGTTATTACACAGCTAAGGGAAGACAGTTGTGTTTCTGAAACGTGATTAGTAACAAAGAGCAACAGTTCCTAACCATTTTGTAGGCAAGGACCATTTGAGAAAAGTGGCAGTCTTGTGCACTTTGTCAAACTGCACAGACTGAGCACAACTGTTCTCTTCCTTAATGGTACTGCTTCAAGTCACCTGCCAAACACCTCGGTACAGAGTGACCAACACCTGGGTGCTCTTCAAAAAGAAGCAGCTATCTTCCTCCACAGTCTCTAATCTGATAAAAGTATTTTCTGCAGAAACAATCTAATATTTCACAGATCTCATTTTTGTGCCTTTGACTTTTAATGTCTCCACAAGCAGCAGAAGACACCAATGACTTTTAGCTACAAAATGAGAGATGGAATAGGGTATTAAAAGGTACAGGTAACTTTAATGACACAGCACCAGCATCTTTGTGCATATCGTATATGGCATATTCACTGCTCTGCACCACCTGCAGCACAGGATCTGCACAGAAATGGGTGCCCTTGCTACTGTCGCACTCTGAACGATACTATCAGCACTGAGACTCTTTGGTGGGTGACCTTGGTTGGACGCCAGGTGTCCATCAAAGCCACTCCGTCACTCCCCTCTTCAATTGGATAGGGGAGAGAAAAATCAAACACAAAGAAGAACGAGAGGAAGCCCAGCAGAGGGGTGCTAAGATGGTGTGAGAGAACTTGGCTTGTTCGGCCCAAAGAACAGAAGAGGAAGGGTGGGGAAGGACCACAGAGAACTAAATGAACATTATAAAGAACTAAGTGAACATTATTGGTGAATCTTGTTATCCTTCATGTAAGTACCATGCCTTGCAATGAGAACAATGAAATCACCCAAAAAAATTATGTCATGTAAATATGCATGACATAATCTGTCCCTTAGAAGAATAAATAGGAAAAGAGACCATATACTGTTTCAGAAAGACTATGTCCCAGCAAGACATGGAAAGAAGTTTATGTATGCAACCAATGCACAAGTAAATTTTGCTGTTAAATTGCACAGGAAATTTGCATTGCAGACTCAGGAAATTACCTTTCTTTGTAAGATTTATGGTCATACTATTAGAAATCATGTCCCTTTGGAGGAAATTTACCGTCAAAGATAGATGGAGTGATTTGAGCTGCTTCCAGATCCTTCAATGTGCTAATGAATAAAATAAAATAAACTCTTAAAAATTGCATGACACAACAGCTACTGAGAAAGAATAATGTCCCACCATTCAAAACAATGAAATGCAATACTTTCAAGCAGCAGGGATGTATACTTTGGCACCTTTACAGACACCTCCTTTGTTAGTCATCAGGAACCTACAGATTACCAGACAAGGTGAATGATGTTTAAAAATTTTTAGAAGATTTTTTCAAGAGATCTTAAATATTACACTGTTACTGAATGTAATGAACTGTTCTAAAAATCAAATCGGTGACAGCCAGGTATTTGGCATCAGAGAAAGAGTGATATCCTCATAGGAAAAGTTGAGAAAAATAGACAAAAGTTATAGAAATAGCAGGAGAAAGCTCATACCATAAAAGAATGTCCTTAGTTTTAGAGATTATGGATTTATAGTTTTACAGATTGTCAGGTTATTCAAGTACCTAGTTGGTTTTCCTACTTAGAGAAAAATACTGTCCTCATTGATTATCTCCAGTAACATCTGCCCAAGTCTGTCTACAAAAACAAGTTCTAAAAAGGGGTCATGACGATACAAAACGAATTATAAAATTTGAAAGAGAAAAGCCTAACTTACAATTGAAAACACATCTGAATTTTTATGATAATATGCAAATTTTATTAATTTTAAATGATATATAAAAACTAGATATTACTGCCTTTACCTTCCAGAGGTCAGCTGTTCCTTCAACAAGTTTGGCATTTGTTTTACAGTATTTCAGAGCCAGATGCAAACATTCAGTTCCATAATCCAGGTCATAGTCTGTACACTGTAGTAATTAAAAAAGAAAATACATCCTTAATTAGCCTTAAAGAAATCATACTTTTAAGCAGTAACAGATTTGCTTTCATTAATTAAACCTTACATCTCAATAGTCCTATCCAGAATAATACAACTGTATTAGTTAGGTAGATTCAGAATGGACGAGAAATCAAAAACTGTTCCAAGAAGCTTATGCCAAATTGTAGGTATCCAGCAGTGTTACATAAGTAAATAAACATTTTATAAGCACAGATGAATTCAATTAGGTGCTGCAAGTATCTTGCTAAACCTTTACATTGTTAACTAAATGAATGAGAAGTTACATGTATAAAAAAAATTTTTGATGGAGTTGAGAGAGGCTTCACCAAAAGACATCATTGACCTTCCAGTGACAAACCTTTAGAGTATGGAAACAAGTTAATAAACTCATGACTCTTCAAATTCCGTGTCTGTGTTGGTTGCTGCATCATCAAAAAAGGATGGTAGTAACTATGAACCTCTGTGTTCCTTATGTGATTCCCTCTATCTTTTTCTCCAGTTACCTGCACAAAAATAGCAAAGTCTCATGGTGCCTCACAAGCCTTGCAGGAAAAAAACCCAAAAAACAAAAAAAAACACCAGACAAAAAAAAGTTTGTCCACTTTTCATTCACCTAGAAAAGACATTATTCTCTCAACACACCCTTCCCAAGCAGTTCAGCTTCCTATAAGTAGTGATTATAAGAATCCTATTAATGAAAAAACTGAGTAGGGAGCAGAATCTCCTGAGCCAAAACATAGGTAGAAAAGCAGGAACAGTATCCAGTCTCTATTAAAGAGTGAATAGCCAACAGTAAGAACAAGGTAATCATATCTTCTTACTTTCCCAGAATACTCCCTTGGCCTCATATAAAGCTATTATTCTGGCTTCGGAAATCCCTAAAATAAAAACTCCCTGAGGGACACACTGAACCAGACGTGACTGCCTTAACAGTATTCAGTGAATTACAGGAACCCTGAATTCACCCAATTATTTTTTGAATAGCAGTATTTTTTAGCAGCTGCATCAGGGCACATCTGATTCATCACTCTTTTCATCACATGCTCTGTTGTTGTCACCGAAAAGGGAGTGCAAAACCACCTTCTCAGCCCTTCAAAATGCTCCACCACATCTCTTCTCACATCTTCCCACAAATAAGTCATGTTGTGTGTGGAAGTTTTACAAAACTTCGTAAAGGAGGGCAAAACGGTTGATCATTTATCTGCAATTACCTATGAATTTTATCATAACATTCTTCTAAAAACCTTCTTAGTCAGCCCTCATCTCTACTACACAGAAAAAAAATGGGTAACTCCACTTCCTGTTCCAAATTATTTATGAACAAAATAACAGCGCAAGTCTCAACACAGGCCATCATGAAACTCCACTAGTGGTTTACTGCTAAGAGAACTGGTCATGCACTTTACTTTGTTCATCTTCTAACAAGTAATGTACTCTGATAAATACTTACTCTTATCCCAAATCTTTTAAGTTTCCTTAAAGAGTCTTTAGTAAAAGCTTCTGTGGAACATCTTGTTATGCAAGCAGGTTGTTATCAGCTTCAGCAACCTCGAACAAGATGTCAGTTAACTCCTTAGAGAATGACAACTAGCTCTGCAATACATAAGCTTTCCTTTACAAAAGCTGAAATAACCCTTCCACTGTGTCAAATTTAACCATGTGTCTGCAAATTCATGTTTCAAAGATACCAGTAATTTCCAGTCTCCTCCAGGATTCAAGAAATCAAAATTGTCAAGAATGTAAAAATCTGAGTTAAAGAAGAACCAAATGAGAGTGCTTCAATACAACTTGACTTCTTTATTAATTTCCTCAAGAAGTTTAATAAAACAGATGAAGGATACATTTTTAGTTTCTATTCTTGTTTTATAGCGCATCAGTGATATTCAAGGAATTCATTGGCATGACACGCCTGTATTGTATTACTAACACACACAGATATCTTACAAAAATCATAGTTATCACTTTTACATTATTTAAATTAGTAATTTTTGTCATTTTAGTTTGTCAGCCCACTTAGAAAAGCAATTTAAATGTTATAGTTCTCTACAGTAGTCTTTAAGTACTTTGAGTTACAAAACAAGAGACACAAGATGACAGAATAACTTAGAAAGGGGTTTCATAAAGACACTTTGGAATATTTTTAAATTATGCAGAAATTACCTATAGTCTTTAAATAAACAAGATACAAAAAAGTTCAACAGAAAATATAAAGGAATAGGGAACTCTAGCTCCAAAATATAGAAAATGCAGTAATCCCTCAAGTAAAGAGGTCCAGAGATAAAGTGCCAACAAACCCAGAAATGGCCTAGTAATTCTCAATTCCAAATATTTATTACCAAAATTGCTCCTTTTTTTTGGTTTTATTTTTAAGGAAAATTTTCTGGTGCAGCAGAAACTATTTTCTACTAATGTGAATAACATACAGATTAAAAAAAAAACGATATATTTTTACTTTGCTTCAGAATGGAAGAAAAAAAACTCAGAAAAAATTAGCTTGAAGGAATTTACTTTTCAATAAAATTAAGTTACATCTTTTTAGTATATCAGTAATGAATGCAACTAGGACAAAACTAAGCAATTCCAACTTTTTGGCAAGGTATTAATTACAGTTAATTAGTTGGGAGTGGAGAAATTCCATAAGTGGGCTAAAGCATCTTGAGGGTATTGCTGGCTTCAAGGGATGAAATACGACACAAAGCAAAGTAATAATTAAAACCATATTTCACTAACACTTGTATATCATGACATTTACCACTCTTATTATCTGTAATTGTTTCAACCTAAACACATTGTCACAGTGTACTGTTCTGCAAGTCTGATACGCTGATGTCAGAAGAGAACAATGAAATGAAGTATCAGCACAAGACTAGCTTAATTTATAAACTATGCATATGCTAAACAGCTTCACAAGTGAAATTTTAAATCCATATTTAAAGTGCACAATTCAAAATCTTCTATGTTGCTCTAAGAAATTCAGTTAACAAATTATGCATTATTAGGGAGCACCTATAAAAATAAGTTGTGCATCCAGGCATAGCATCATCAGCCAGTCAAGGGAGGTGACTGTCCCTCTCTGCTTCAGCATTGGTGTGGCCTCACTCTGAGTGCTGTGTGCAGTTTTGAGCACCACAATGTAAGAAAGACACAAAGTGCTGAAAGGAGGGCTACAAAGGTAGTGAAGGGCCTAGAGGGAGGCCATATGAGGACCTGAGGTCACTTGTCTTGTTTAAACTGGAGAAAAGAAGCCCGAGAGGAAACCTCATTGCAGTCTACAACTTCCTCATTAGGGGAAGCAGAGGCGCAGGCACTGATCTCTTCTCTTTGGTGACTCAAGGAAATGGCATGAAGCTGCGTCAGGGGAGGTTTAAGTTGGATATTAGGAAAAGGTTTTTCACCCAGAGGGAAGGAACAGGCTCCTCAGGGAAGTGGTCACAGCACTAAGCCTGACAGAGTTCCAGAAGCATTTGGACACACTCTTGGGCATATGGTGTGATTCTTGGGGTTGTCCTGTGCAGGGCCAGGAGTAGGACTCAATGACCCTTGTGGATCACTTTCTACTCAGGATATTCTATGATTCTACAAAAATCTGTGAGGAAAATTCTTACTGACCCAGGTGTGCAACCATTCTCATCCTAAGTCTTCTGTATGTATTTTAGTGTGCATCTAGAGTCAATTTACAATACAAAAATCTGTTTAAAACTCCTACTATTTCTAAAGTCTCTTTATGACTGAAAGCCTTTTTAACATAAAGTTTGACAGTGTACAGTTAACTGAGCTTGACATGCACACACAGCTTTGTGAAACAATAGACATAGTTTAAGTTTCAGACCACAGATTTGAAATTGTGGAAACAGCTGGAAATACTGGCACAAAACATATTCACAAAAGAAAGAAAACATATTAGTTTAGCTCTTTAAATGACAGAGAAGAAAATATGTTACTTAAAAATGCTTTTGTACTGTAGAATATTCAAAGACATTCTAATAGGTGTTTTCGGGAGACTTTTTTGTGGGTGTCTTTTTTGTTTATTTGTTTCCCAAGAGTGGTTGTTTGAATAAAATACTATGGGTGGAGAGAGATCCAGAATTTTAGCATTACACCAATTCTTCTTCCTCTTCCCCCAAAATTAGTTTGAGAATATTTTGAAAAATACAACTTCTTCCTAAAATGCAAGGTATACTGTTGTCGCTTAGAGATGTAAACATGGAACAAGGGGTTAGAGAAAAGAGCAGCTACACAGCCTGTGTGTCCCTGGTACTTACTAATACTCCATATGCTCATTTGTTTCCAGTACTTTGAACTCTACTTTATTGTATCTTTATACTGATAAAAATTTTGAACGGATATATGGAAACCAGTGATAGAACCCAAGGGAATGGCCTGTAGTTGTGTCAGGGGAGGTTTAGGTTGGATATTAGAAAGATTCTTCACCCAGAGGATGGTTGAGTGCTGGAAGGTGGTTGGCTCCCCAGGGAAGTGGTCACAGCACCAAGTCTCAGAGAGTTCAAGAAATGTTTGGACAGTACTCTCAGGCACATGCTGTGACTCCTGGGGATGGTCCTGTGCAGGGATAAGGGTTGGAGTTGATGATCCTTGTGGTTCCCTTCCAACTCAGGAGATTCTGTGATTCTGTAGTAACCATACAACAGAACAAGCATGGATGAAAAAAAAATCATTACAACACTATCAGTCTCTTATCTTTTCATCATTCCTTAGTTTATAAAAAGGATGCAAAATCAGTATTCTTTATGCATAACTGATAGAAAATCTTCGGATTTGCTCCTTTGCACAGGTATCATTAAAGCCTGTGTAGAGCCGGCATTTATACTTCGGTAATGATTGACTGACTCATCCTTAGCACTTTTTCCACTGTCAGCAGAGTCTCTGTTTTACTCTCCCATGGAAATCTATTCAATAACAATATCAGAACACTTGCACTTCAAATGCATAACTAATTAACAAAAGCAG